GCCCACCCAGTGGTGCAGCAGTTAAGTGCACGCATTCTGGTTTGGCTGCCTGGGGTTCGCCAGTTTGGATCCTGGGTGCGGACATGGCACCACTCATTAAGCCATGCTGTGTCTGGTGTCCCACATATGAAGCAGAGGAAGATGGGCATGGATGTTAGCTCAAGGCCAGTCTTCCTCAGCAAAAAGAGGAGGATTGGCAGCAGATGTTAGCTCAGGGCTAATCTTCCTCAAAAAAAAATAATAAAAATTTAAAAATATATATAAAAAAATAAAATTGTGAAGCAGATATAACCAAATGCTAACCACTGTTAATTCTCAGTGGTGGCAACACAAATTCATACCAACAAAACAAACCCAAGCTCAACTGGAAACTCTCAGAGATCTGATACCATGCTGTGTTACCTTGTCTATTTCTGTCTTCCTCATATTTGGTGCTCCCTAAGAGTCTTTGTTGCTGATGTTGGTAGGAAAGTCACTATGACTAACTCCACAGCTGGCCTCTTAACATCTGGGAAGCAAGCTCTGGAAATACACTGGCAGGGCCCATGTGACAACCAGGGGGGAGTGCAATGCTTCCTGCCTGCACGCCTCTGACCACCACAGGGGTGACCAGCTCTGGCTATCCTGGGCACATCTAACCTTGCCACAGGGCCTGGGAAGGCCACACAATTTTAGAAAGCCCACAAGCATTTTGTACCATGATTTTAGAATCCAGCAGCAATGAAATACACAAAAGTAAAAGTTGCCATGAAGAGGGGGAGGTAGGAGTGAGGTAACCATTTCAGAAAATGAAGCTGATTGAGGAAGCCATGCGTGAATCAGGAACGAACACTGCTCGGGAGGACCAGGGTTCTGGATTACACCGAGGCCGGATGAGGAGGCTGCACACAGGTTGACTGGAGGCCAGTCCTGTGTTCTACTTCTTCATTCTCTAAATGCCAGGAGAAGTCTCCCCAGGGAGAGCAGACGGAGACATGGACTATTCCTGGAGGAGCCAGGAGCCGCGGAGGCTGGAGCTTGTCACCGTCCTTCTCCGACCCCGTTTCCCTTGGCTATCTGCAAACAGCCCTGTATTCATGGCACCCGATGAAAGGAAGGCAGCTCCAGGCTGAGACCGAACCCAGCAAACCAAGGAGCTGGGCTGGCGGGCTTACCAGTCGGCCCTTTCAAAGGCAGGAGGGCATTTAACAAGAGACATCTGTTTATCTTAATCTCCAAGCCCTTTCCTGGAAAACAAGCCCGCCCTGGAAGGGCCAGCAGACCCAGAGGCAGTTGGAAGGAGGTGAAACAGGCTGGCAGCCTGCAGCTGGCCGGAGAGGGCCTCACAGAGAGGAGTGGGCAGGCCTCGCTCTCTGAGAGCAGACTTGCAATCCAGAAGCCAGGGCGCTGTGACCTCAGACAGACCTCCCAGCCTTTGTGCCGAATGTCCCCAGCTAGGGAAGTCAGCGGTGACTACTTTGGAGGGGCAGTTGGGGGGAGTGTGCAAGGTCCGGGGCAGCCCTGGGCTGGTAAGAGCAGCGGAACTGGGGCTTCATCCCAGCCCCAGTTTACTAGTTGGTGACTTCAGGCAAGTTATTTCTCTTTCTGAGCATGTTCCCTGACACGGGAAAGGGGGTAACACCACCCACCTCATAGGGTGCAGATTATAGCAGATGAAAGACAAAGATTCCTGGCCCATAGGAGTTTGCCCAGTCACAGCTTCTACCCTGTTAAGGGGTTTTAGGTGTTAAAAGACGAATCTTGCTACTGCCCCAAAATACCACTGGGTCTGTCCACAGGGCAAAACTGACTCATTTTTGCAGTCCCTGGGTGGGTTCAGAAGGGGTGTGTGCAGATGAGGACAGGGGTACCTACATGCCCCACCCCCACTCCAAGTTAAGGAGCTCAGGGGCCAGTTTCCACCGCTGGAGCCCTAACGCTCCCAGGAATGAACGGCTGGGCAGAGGGCCCCTTCCTTCAAGATGAGCTCCTGCACATAGCTCTAAGTCTGAGCTGCCTGTGCCCTGCAGATTTTCTCCCTCCCTGGACACGGTGGGCCCCCTGCCCACTCGCAGGGATCCAGAGCCCATTCCCACTGGCACTGCTCCTCCCAGCTCAGCAGAGACTGTCCTGCCACCTCCGTGAAGTCCGCCCACTGCTGTCAAGCCCAGGGTTTCCAGACTCCTGCCCAAACTCCCAGTGCTCCTCAATCAGCAACTCTGGGGCAGGGTTTATTAATGACCTCAGTTGACAGTGTTCCACTGGGGAAAATCTGCTGATTTCAGGCTGCAGGTGCAGTTCTGAATGTAAGACTAACATGAAAGGTACACTGCACAATGGAGATTATTATTGCTATATGCCAACCACCACCCAGATCAGGCCCAGACAAGTCCAGCTAGCACAGCACCAGGGGAACGCCGAAGATAAAATGAGATCCAAAGATCACGGCAGCAAATGGCACCAGGGACAGCGAGGCTAGAAGAGCAGCTGGAAATCTGTGACTCGCCACATCCATCAGGTCTGTGGCTTCAAAGGTTAACTGGGATTTTCACCTTTGATGGCCACTCAGAGCGGAGGCAGCCAGCTCTCGAGTTGCAAAGAAACCTGCAACTGAAGGGGAGATCCCGAAGAGGCAGGATCAGGCCGCCTCAGGAGCCCCTAACACAGGATCCAATGAAAGACCTTTGTCCTCCGGGGCCATGAGAGGCAGCAGAGCTTCCAGGCGCAGTGTGAACTCCAGAACCAGACCCAGGCTCCAATCCTGCGCTGCCACTTCCTACCATGTGCCTTTGGGAGGGTTAGTAACTCCCTCTGCCTGGGCTGCCTCACTTGTCACACTAGCACCTGCTCAGGGGGTGGGAAGGATCAACTGAGTCACTACGTGTAAGGAGTTTAGAACAATGCCTGACACAGGGCAGGTAAGTGCTTTAACACATTAGCTATTGAATTGTCTATGGTCTCAGGGAAATGGGGGTACTGACTATGGACAGAGGGCTTACAAAGCACAAGGAAAAATAGACAAATTTGGTGACGCATAAATATATAAAAATATGAAGAATCAACATTTATGTCTAATTTCCACTTAGTTTAATAATCACCATTTTTGTAACTACACTGACAGCTAGCTCCTAAAGGTCCTAGGCTGTGGCTCAAACCTTGTGTCTGCCACAGCACCTGGCCCACGGGGGCAGGTTCTACTCCATGCGCTGGCTGCTTCCTCCAGACGTGACCTACAGCAAAACACCCAACATCTGTCCCCCAGCCTCAGATCACTTACCTGCCGAGGTTTCTGCAGTTCTCATAAAATTGTTTAATTTTGTTTACCCAGAAAGACCCTGGAATCATGCTCCCCGTTCCTAAGGAGTTGTTGACAATCTGTTGTGAGACCAAGTGAGATTCTGCACGGTGGGAACATTGTAAAACCCTACCCCACCGCCCCCAACGACACACACACACAATCAGCATCATTGTTGAGTCTTTCGGAACCGCAGTGGCACATTTCCCAGCCTTCGTAAACCCGGCATGCTCACATCTTGCTTTGCTGGTGGAGATGGGCTGGGCCTCTGGTCGTGCAAGTACACGTCCGAGATGATTTTCAGCGCTGTGCACTCAGCAGCTCTGCGAGCAGGACCACATCACGCTGATCCCTCTGCCAAGCCTGGGATTTCTGGATTTGAGGCTGCTAAGCCTCTGATGGGCATGGTGTCGAGTCATTTTCCCCTATCATTTGAAAACTTAGAAGAGAAAAATTTCTGGCTAATGACTGTCTTGCAACAAAGACAGGATCACCGTAACTATCCCCAAGTTCAAAGAAGGAATGCCAAGAACGCGGAGGGAGGAGCTGCAGGCCTGGAAGGACTTTTTCCCTTTGGCTCTCGGCTCCTGAGTCACATTCCTCAGCAGCCCTAAGGGAGAGGTAAGCTCTCGGGATCTCTTATTCCCACCATGAGGACCCTGGCAGAGGGGCCAACGAAAGAGGCCTAAATACAGATTCAAAAGCAAATGATACCAAAAGGGTGTCTGTTACTACAAATGATAAAATTACACCTCAATAAACCTGACTTTAAAAAGAGGCAGACAATTTACACAAAGGCAGGGAATACTTATTAAAATCAGAAAATCTCAATTTGTATTTGAATGCTCCATTTAGTCAGGAAAAGGGGAGTCCAGGGCTGCAGGACAGCTGGATGGGCGGGATATTTACATCACTGGGGGCTCCAGGCAGAGCCCTGAGCAGGAAACAGCAGCCACCTGCGGCCACCCAAAGAGTTTAATGAAGAGGGGCCCTGGAGGGTGGACTGTGTCACCGGAACCCCCAAGGGCTGCGAGGGACAAGGAGGAACAGCAGCAGGAAGCCGCGACCACCTTTAGCACTGGAGGCACGAGGAAGAGGTATGGTCACCCATGGCCCGTGGGAGCTGCAGCCACAGCCGGAAACACTGCGCGAAGCAGGGAGGGATGAAGAGGAAGGCCCGACCTCCGCCTGCTCCCGCGAATGAGAGTGGTCACTGGCCATGGAGGGAACCCAGGGCCCGCAGGGATCAGCCTCCAGGGGACAGGCTGGAAAAGGGATCTGAAGACAAAGACTGAGCAGCACAGGGCCCTCCTGTAGCGAAGTAACTTCCGTTTCCGGTAAAATGGAGACCAAGGTACCTGCTGTCAGCCTGCTATAAATCAAGAGAGATTATGTGCAAACTGTGATTGCAGGAGAACCCTTTTTAGTTTAGGAACAAGGGAAAAACAGGGGTGCCTGTTCATTCTCGATTATTAACACACTTCCCCTTTTGCTATTTTCCGGAAACAGGCAGTTTGGATTTCTCAGACTATCACAACCATCAGGAGCGTTGATTCAGTATTTACCACTGACCCACTCCCACCCTTCTATTTCAGAAACCATCCCGGCCTGGAATGCCACCAAGTTCCACTTCCTCAAGTAGCATCCAGCCATTCACCTTAACTGTTTCCTGGCGGACACAGAGCCACATTGTGGAGAAAACAAGGGAGTGAAAATAATGGGGGAGTCGAGATTCCCGTCGAGTGATGCCGTTTATTGAAAGACAACCTTGCTTTATCCAGTTCCCTTACATGGAGGTAGCTGCATAACAATGTCTCTTCCCCATGACAAATCAAAGCAATCAAACCATCCCCCAAAGCAGAAACGCAACAGAGTAAGCCTATGGGCATTGTCAAATAACACTCAGAAACAGGAAAAAAATTATAAAGATATAGGATGATTGTCTCCTCAGTATTGCATTTGGCCACATATTTGTTTATTAAATAAAACTTTTTTTGTCCTTTTAAGCTAGCTAAAGAAAACATTCTTGAGTAGGGTTAGTTCTTAAAGCAACAAACAGAAAAAAAATATGTGTATATAATAAAATCAAAGAATGATAGTATGTCAGAGCTGGAAAGGACCGTGGGCCCTGGTCCTCGTTTGTTCTGGGTAATCTGCGGCTCTGAGAGTGCATGCCCTGTCAAGGTCACCGCGGTAACATGAGCGAGGACTTGAAAACACCTCTCAACTCTCAGTCCAGTGTTCTGCCCACCCAGCTACACTGAGTGCATCTAGCTCACTGTCAGCTGCTCTGCCACGGAGGAGGATGGCACATTTGTTAACACTTAAAACAGCCCATTTTTAGGGTAAGGGTGCAATCTTGGAATGGCGAGCTCTGCTCTCTTTTCATGGGCAGTTTTGCTTCCTGCAGCCAGCCTGACGGCTACCAGAAGGAATTGGCCAGAACAATAGGCAGCGACCTTCCCACAAACCAAGACAGACACTCGCTCCCAAGCTTCTTGGGCCTCCGACCTTTCTTGTCTCCAAGCTGTAGCTGTGAGTGGGCTGAGGCACTTCCAGGCAGACTTCCTGGCAAATACCTAATGATGGCGGAAGCAGCGGGAAATCAGGAACACACTGAGGGTCGAACGAAGATCCCCGGGAGTTCCAGGGAGCTAGTCAAGCACCCATAGGCTTGTCACATCCCCAAGAGGACAGAGGGGCTCCAGGGCTGGGTGAGGAGGGGCTCAGCCTCTGTGTCTGTATGACTGTTGTCTATCACCCCCGTTCCCCTGACTGTGCTCCAGGAGGGGCGGGATTTTGATCCGTTTTATGCTCTGCTGTAATCCCAGTGCCAAGGACTGTGCCTGACACATCGTAGGTGCCCAAAAAATGTTTGCTAAATGAATGAATGGCTAAAAGAAAGAATTTCTCCACACTCGAAATAAGTAAGCAGAGGCAAGAACCACTCCCCCCAGCAGAGGCTTAGGATGGCTTGGCTCTCCTGCTCCAGGGTTGTCACCTGTGGGGGGGAGGATGACACCAGCCTTTAGACCAGGCTGATCACTCTGAATCCTGTTTGGTGGGCTCTGTGACATGGGGTAGGTAAGGCACTGAAATCCCCTGCTCCCGGTGGCAACAGTTGTGGAGTTCTCTGTCCACAGGCCTCCCATCTATCAGGATGCTAGGAGACACTGCTGAAGCAGCTGAACGCTGTCACTTCTGCCCCTATACATGTACCCAGCTCACAGGGTTCTCTCCCTGGCCATCGCCCTGCTGAGCTGCTGTCCCCATGCCCTGACCCTGACCTATGGGAGCCTAGCTGTGATGGGACCTGGCCTCGGGCATGCCTGGGGACTGTCACAGTGGGAGGTGACACCAGGAAGGCCAGGAGGAGGCACTGGGATACCCTGCAGCCTCCCAATGCCATGCTCCCTGTAATTGTGTCCCAGTGACGTGGACTTGCCCCAGACTCATCCAATCCCGGTCACTTTGTGCCTGGTGCTGGCCAGTGTCCCTCCATCCCAGGAAGTTGGAAGGAGCCTTCCAGTTTGCACAGACTCACCTCTGTCTGACTTCTATTTCTTTCCTCCCTCTCCTGACATAAACCTGAGATTCTGCTTAATCTGCCTCTTGTCTACACATCCCCCAGCCTTCAAGAACTTCTTCCTCTTCCTTCCTATCCACACCCTCACACCTGCTCATTTCCTCTCCCCCTCCCTTTTCCCACAACCTTACTGAACACCTCCCGCTTCCTCCTCACACCTAGGTCCATGAACCCCATACCCTCCTACTCCCCAGCCAGCAACCACCCCATCCAGGGACAGAGAGAGCACAGTTTGGAGGCCTGCTGTGGGAGAAGGGAGGAAAGGACCACTGAGAAATGACAGTAAGGCCCCATCCTTCCAGAAACCACATCATTTGTCAAAAACCCACCCACCTGTGTAAAAGAAATTGCACCTGGTGACTGAGAATTGGTCTCAGCGTGGTTCAGAAATTGTAACAAAATTCTAGATAAAATAAGCAACCAAGGCCACAGATACACCTGACCTTCTGACCTTCTCCCCCTCCGTCAGCAAGCTGTTTACCACGGCCCCTCGAGTTTCTCTTCTCAGGATTAACTGTCCCTTATCATTATAATTTCTTTTTTCCAACTCTGATGTCCAAAGTGGTCTTTATTCTACCTTCTCTCTCACCTCTGCTCCTTAATACTTAAAATCTAGTGGCTTCATATTTTAAAAAAAAAATTCAAGATAGATGTGTGACATTTACAAACAAGCCATCCAATGAAGCCTCTGAACATTGCAAAATGGAAGAGCAGCAGTCCATGAGAAAGTCTGGTTTAAAATATGTACAGCTCACACATCATTTCCTCCTCTGCAAAGTGGCTGTTTAATAATAACTAGCATTTTGGACCTGTTGTCTTGGTGGAGGGAGGGGGGCAGGAGCAGCAAATGCAAATGGTGCTGGCAGATAGCTGTAAAGAACAGGGGCTTCATCTGCCAAATTATATTTTCCAAAACACCCCAATGGGTGGTGGTCTCAACATTTAAACTGCAATAGCTCCCCGGCTAAGCTATGAGAGCCGTGCTCCCACTGTGGGATCCTAGGAGGACTGTAACGTGGAGGAATCGGCCTGTGATGTGAAGAGGAGGTGATGGGCCTCTGCTCCAGATGGGTGCTCCCTTTCCTGCCCCCTGCTGCTGGCGGCTGCAGGTCCCTCTGAGGAATGACGGGCCACCTCCACAGCCCTGGAAGTGCACTTAGATCTGGCTGGCGGCGGTGCTGTCCTTAGGGAAGGTGTAGCTCAGCGGTGCCTCATAGAGGCTCCCCCCGTCGGTGCTGAGGTCGTCATCGTCATCCATGTCATCCAGCACTTTACTCGGCAGCTTCTTAAGTCTGCTGAAACAACAGGGGGCATGTTTCCTGGCGCTAGACTGGACTGAGACTCATGTCTGATCTGGAGATGAAGGAAGGGTCTTGGGTCCCTGTCTCTTCACCCCACCAAGTGGCACAGAAGCACATGAACTGAACTGGTCTGCAGTTGATGGTTCCTTCAGCCACAGGGCACAAACCGCCCACCTCTCAGCACAGGAGGCCAGTGCTAATAGGTTGGGCTGGGCACGCCTGGGACAGGATTAGGAGTCCTGATTGCTCCCTTTGCCTCAAGCTCCAATGTGGCTCATGAGGGTGCTGTTATTGATCCTGTCTTAATTTAAAATGTTGATATCTTGTTCACCATGGGTTGTTTGCCTTAATTTCTAATAGCGCATTAAATATTATCTATCTTGATTACTGAGATTTTTGGTGCCCCTTAAATGCTGCACCCTAATGCCGGCCCTGGGGCCAGGTTCTTGACAGACAGACCCAGTTTATAGGACTTTCTAGGGGCTGGAGCCTTCTGTCTATTTCTAAGAGAACTCCCTGAGCAGCCAGCATAGGCAGCCTCTAAGAAAGGCTCAGCTCCATGGATGAACATGAACCTGATCACTCCCTCACCCCATTTTCCCTGGGGAAGGGCAGGTAACCCCTCACCCCATCCCCTTAGGACCATGGCAGGGGAACTTAGAGGCAGCTCTCTCCTGAACCCAGGCTCGGGATATCCCAGTCCTCATGAATATTTGAGCCAGAACCTTATCTTATTTCTTCCTAAGTCATGTAAAAAGGCAGGAGACCTACGAGCTGGTCCGTGAGCTGCCCCCTGCAATGGTGGTATGAACCAGTCTTACCTGCTCTGAGACTCAGTTCCCCCTTATGGACAACAGTGACAATACCGGCCCAGCTGACATCAGGGCATGGCCTAAGGATGGCACATGTGAGGCCCTTCTGAGCACATGGGGCGACTGAAGTGGACACAGCCACTCTCATCTCTAGGATGGGATGACTCCAAAAGGAGACAATAAGGAACTGGCTTGAGACAGCAGGAGTAAGAATGTTCTGAAAGCACTGAGCCCTCCTTCAGTGTCAGGGGGCTTATGTTCCCTGTGGGGCCATCCGAAAGTCCCCTTCCCCTTGCCCACCTTAAGTTCTTCTTCATGGAATTGAGCTGTCCCTGCAGCTGCTCATTCACATCCATCTGCTCCTCCAGCTCCCTCTGTAGCTTCTTTTTCGAACTTTCTAGTCTGTCGATTTCCTCCTCAGCCTCCTCCACCTGTCGCTTCATTGCTTTCAAGCGCAAGCTCAGCTGCATTGGGAAAGAGGGCAGGTTGAGTGCTGGCCGGCCCAGCTGGGATGGAGAAGAGCCCCAGCATGGACAGGCCAGCGGTCCAGCCACCTCCTCTCCAGGCAACCAAGATAAGGCAAAGGGGGACAACTGGTCTCACTGGAAAGTGGAGATAAGACCCTAAGACTGCTTTTAAAAGCCAAGGTCAGGGTTTGAAGTTTGCTGAAATCGCCTACTAAGTAGGCTAGAAAAGCCCCATTCTATGACATAACTGGGTAGAGTGGAAAGAGAGGACTCAGTTCACCACCACTCCATCGCCCACCCGCGGAGGCCTCGCCCCAGCCTGGGACATAAAATCTCATCCGAGAATGACTTGCAGGGTGTCCCTCACCTGGTCCTTCTGATCAGTCAGCGACAGGTGCTCATCGTCCACCTGCATCACCAGTTCCTTCACCTTCCGCTCCAGCCTTCGGTTGCTGAGCTGGAGGCTGGCCCGGTCCCTGGAAGGGCAGAGGAGGCAGAACGAGGCACCCTCTCATCCCAGGCCCACAGAAGGCCCAGCCCAGGCTGCGGGGGAGGGGAAGCTCCAGCCAGGGCTGCCTGGTCAACTCAAGGCTGGGGGGTCAGAGGGATGCAAAGCTTAACAGGGGGAAAGTGCAGCCCATTAGACAGATGAGGAAACAGGGGCTCCGAGAAGGAGAGTGACTTGCCCAAGGCTGCAGACCCAGTGAGGGGCTAAGCTGGGACTGGACCAGCCCTGAGGTCTTCCATCTCAAGCTTTCCTTTATAAGGCACAGGGTCATAGCTGCGAGACTGTGAACGTTTTGTGTCTACTCCAGGCTGCTCCAGCCCAGCCCCCAGAAGTCCTACTAAAAACATAATGTAAAGTGCTATATGCATGCGCATATACACAAATACCCACAGACACACACACCTTCTAGAAGAGTGAGGGGCCATGAGTCAGGACTGAGGCTGGTCAAGTTCAACCTGTGCTGGACTCGGGCTGCAATGTGAGAGCTAGCTGCAGAGAATCCTGGTGTTGGAAAGGAGGGTGGTCATCTCATCCCACTGTGGGGGGACCTGCCCATTTCTGACAGATGGCCCCTTGGCCTCTGCCTGAATACACACAGCCCCCATGGCGGCATCAGCCCCCTTTCCTCTAATCTGGCTCAAACTCAATAGCTTATGAGGCAGCCTGTCTTACTGAGGGGATGGAGAAAGGAGCAGCGAGTACGGAGAAAGGCCTTAAGGGTGGGAGTCTTGAGTTTTAGCCCAGCTACACCAATATTCAGCCAGGCTACCTCCCTCAAGTACTTAGGTGGGTGGGTTTCGGTTTTCTCATCTGTAGAAAGGAAACAATAACCTCCAGGTTGTCCTTGCTCTGGGAAGGAGTATGGGAAGAGATAGAAACGTGAGCGCACTCTGTGAGGTGAATACCACTGCCCGCCAGGCCTCTACACCACAGCTGGGCCGCCTCACCTCTCCTCGCTCTCCAGACGGTCCTCCAGCTCCGCGATCCTGGCCTCCATCTGCACCACCAGCCCCTCTTTGCTGGACCTGTAGGACCCTTCCAGGTGGACAATCCGGCTCTTTAAGTCCTTGTTCTGGAATCAGAGAGGGAGACTGTGAGGGGACGGATGTCTGCCACACTCTGTGCAGAGCAGGGCAGAGGGAGGGCCAGCATTTGGTCAATGACTGTGATAAACAAGCTTTCACACCGGGATACGTGGCCCCGGGGGACCTGGGGAGACCAGGGATGGTTCCAAGGAAAGGCCTTGCACTCCAGTCCCGGTAGGCCAAAAGAAGAGATTCTATCGCATTCCCTTACAAGCCTGCGTGAGATCACTAGCATGGCCTGGGACTCCCGGATGTCAGGCCAATGAGCTTGGCGTTGGCCTTTTATAAACCTACTGGCAGGAGAAACGTGCTCCTTCACCACTATCAGGCATCCTATTCACTGAAGAACTTACATGAATAGCATGTAAAAGAAATAACGATTCAAGTAAGCTTTATTAGCAACTCGTGTGTTTGACGGCACTGGTGCTTTACTATCCCCTTTCCATTAGAATTTAGCCCTCTTTAGGGTCTAGAAAACAAGACTTACAATTCTACCTTCCCCCTTGGAAGCTGCTAAACTTCCAAGCATATTTAACATTATTGGGAAAAACGTCTCTGCACAAGGCCTCAGAAATACCTCTCTCAGGTGAGTTACACCCCAGAGTCCCTGGGGCACTAAGCAAAGGAGACACCACTGAGGGAGTCTAGTCCAAAGCTTCGGGGGGGTGGGGGGGGGGCAGTGCAGGGGGCCAGCTGCCCTCACCTGTCTCTCCAAGGAAATCTTGTCACACTCCAAATCTTGCCTCACAGCTCTCTCCTGAAGCAGCTCGTTTCTTATCTGCTCCATCTACACCAAACAGAGCAGAAGCTCAGAGGTTAGAGGGGCTATTCCCATATCCTTTGTGCTGACATGCTTCCAGGTGCTAGTTCTAAGAACCAGACAGCTCCTCTTCATGACGGAGGCCTCCTGCCAGCTCCTCTGGGGTGCAGGAGCTGTTTCTTACGTATTCCTGGATTCTCAATGATTACAAAGATAATGACACAAATAGCAATAATAGTCAAAGCTAACCCTGCTGTTACGAGTTGAATTGTGTCCTCCAAAAAAGATACATTGAACTCCTACCCCCAGTACCTCAGATGCGACCTTATTTGGAAACAGGGTCTTTACAGAGGTAATCAAGTAAAAATGAGGTAGGCCCGAATCCAATATGACTGGTGTCCTTATAAAAAGTGGAAATTTGCACGCAGAGACAGACAAGCAGACAGGGAAGACAGCTACGTGAAGAGAGAGACGGGGAGAGAATGCCAGGTGAAGACAGAGAGTTAGAGTAACATCTACAAGGCAAGGAACTTCGAAGATTGCCAGAAAACTCCCAGAAGCCAGGAAGAAGCAAGGAAGGATTCTCCTACAGGTCCAGAGGGAGGACGGCCCTACTGACATCTTGATTTCAGACTTTCGGCCTCCAGAACTGTGAGTCAAGTTCTAAGGCCAGCTGGTTCCTGGGACTTTGTTACAGCAGCTCTAGAAACTGATACACCTGCTCAGCACACCACATGCACTATCCTCTTATATCCCAGAACAACCCTAAGAACTAGGTAATACTGTCTCTATTGAGGACATTGGGGCTTGGAGAAGTCGGTCAAGTTGTATGGTGACCAACCATCCCAGCTTGCCCAGGACCAAGGATGTGCTCAGGACGTGGGACTTTCATGCTAAAACTGGGAAAGTCCCAGGCAAACGGGGACGAGTCAGTCACCCAACATGCCCGAGATCTGCACAACTAGTAATGGGGGAGCCGGTGTTCCCCTAAGCTCCTGACTGCCGCATTATAAGTTCAGACTTCAGAATGGGCTTCCACAGTAAGCATATCTCAGACGCTGCTAGATTTCTCCGTTCTTATGCCAGAAACAGAAGTCAGCAAGAACACTGGGCAGCTCCAGGTGACCCAGCAAAGGTTAAACATTCCTAAGGGTTTCTTCTATGTTAATAGGAAACGAGCCTAGCTGGGCAGCATCCGGGAAAAAAATTCCATTGCCTGCCTTTCGCAATTTCCGTTCCTGACTCTCACTGGGCTTCAGCAGCAGGGAAATGAGCGCCAGAGATGGAAGCCCTGGACCCTATTCCCAGGACCATCCAGCAGAGGGCAGCCTGAAGAAACCAGGAGAACTAAGAAGGTGAGCCCATAAAACAAAACCACTCTTTCCATCTTAAGGTCAGGGTCCGACTGAGGTAAGAGGTGCATACACAGGATGCTCCCTGGATTCCTGGGAGGCATCTGTAACAGGCTCACCCGGCCTGGCCTCAGCTTGGATTTTCACCTTCTGTACGAGCAAGTAAAAGATAAACTCAGTCCCTTCCCTCCATCTGCCTGGAGAGCAAGAACTGGGGGTCCCGGGAATAGTAAGAGAAGACACCACCACGTTGAGCCAGGCTTGCATCTGCTCCCATCTCCCACTGACCCGACCATGGTGTGTGCATGGAATGACAAGCAGAGTGGTGTGGCCAGCCCAGTGGGCAACAGGGAGTGGTAAAGAACAAGGCTGGTGATGGGCGAGGCATGGACATAGATGCCTCTGATACCACAGGAGGAAGCAGGGACTCTGCCACAGGGGAGGAGTACCCAGGTGGTCAAAAAATGCCTACATGTTTGCACTTCTGACAGGCAGGCTTCTAAGGCATGAGGGTTCAGAACTTTACGGCAGAGGAAAGGGAGGCCCAGGGCAGCTATACAAGGAACTGGAGAGAGCAGGACTAGAACCCAGGCCGAGCCTGCACCCTACCCACTAGGAGCCTACTCTCTCTGGACCCACGACCCACTCAGTGAAAAGGCTTCCAACAGACCTAGGATTCAAATACAGCTGTCACGTAAACACCAAGACCCGGGAGGCAGTGAGTCTCCTTAGGTCATCCTTGTGTGCAGCAGTGAAAAGACGCCAGCCCTGCAAGGGGTCAGCAGGCAGAGCCCAGAAAGCTCTGCCCGCAGCCCTGCTCCCACGCTGCCTGATCCCAGGGCCCTTGAGAATCACATGCTGTAGAGAGGGCATCAGCAGTGTTCCTGTAACTGTTCTACAAGCAGAGTGCACAGGTAATGAATGCAGGCTCACAGCCCCACTCCGAGCGTGGCTCTGAACCAGCTGACACCACGCCCCAGGGCGGACGTCAGCATAGCTGGGCCACAGGACCCAGACATGGCTCCCGGGGGAAATCGTTCTGTTCACACCCCCGGGGCAGCGGAGGCCAGGACCTCACTGAGGACATAGTTAAACTTTCACTGCGAGGAGAAGCAATTACACAGACAAGCAGCCCCGCTTCCCTTTCTGGCTCTGCGTGCACTTGGGTGTGACCTTGATCGTTTCACCTCTGGGATGCAGATTCCTTGTTTCTAAACTTGAACGAGACAGTCTGTAAGGGCCCCTCAAGCTGGCCTGTGATACAGTGACAGCAGTTTTGGTGGCTCCTCCATCCTTCAGGGTGCTGTGAGGCTCTCCTTTTGTGGAAGCCAGAGGCCCCTGCCTCCATCCTCAGGCTAGAGTAGGCATCCCAACTCTCCAGGCATTTAGGAGGGTCCCTGGAAAAGACCCACTCTGTCAAGGTGAGAGCAAATGTGTTTGTAAACAAACACACTTGTGTGCTGGGGGAGGGGTTGTCTTGGAATGGTGGAGTGGGTTTGTCCATTTGTTCAAAGTATATTATGGCCCCTAGGCTGGACATTGTGACAAAAAGACCAACAGAGTACCTGCCCTCATTATAGCCTCATGGGGGACAAACACACAAGCCTTGCACATGTGGTCAAGGTTACCATGATGGGGAAGGACAGTGTGCCAGGGTGGGACACACGGCAGTGGTCACAGCCCAGACCTGGCGGGGCAGTGAAATTCTCCACAGAAAGGGACGCTAAGCTGAGATGTAACTGAGAGGTCAGGGTCAGGCAGGGTAGAGAAAGGGGCAGGAGAGGAAATGCAGCTTTCCAAGCCGTGGGACCACCATGAGAAAGAGCAGGAGGCCAGCAAGAGAAGGGAGTGCTGGGAGAACTGAAAGGGCTGACTTGGCCACTCGGGGAGGCAAAGGGACAGGTTAGGAGATGAGGTGGAGAGGCAGAGAGGGAGCAGCCACACAGGGCCGGTTACAGTCCAGTGACAAGAGCGCACGCCTGTACTGCACTTACTAAATCAGGTCTTCAACATTTTCATAGTCTTCTCTCATTTAATCCTCACCACCACCTGAGGCAGTACTCCTAACACCCCCATCAACCCTAGAGTCCAGGAGAGGCTGTGGATACTGGTGTGGAGATTGGGTGCCACTAGGTGAAGCCACAGGATAGATGAGCTCACCAAGGAGAAAACGTATGAAGAATGAGGAGGATCCAGGACCATCTGGAGCCACGCCCTGGGGAGCCCTCCCCGCTGCACCTCACGTTAGGCAGGGAGAAAACCAGGATATTGACCTGTGCCAAAAGCCGAGAAGGCTGAGGACTGAGGGAAAAGCACCTGGGCTGGACAAAAAGTTCGCTCTGGAAGACTCGGTGGAGAGGGGAACTGGGCCACTGAGATTGGGAAGGCGCCAGTCATGAAGAGCTGGGGACATGCCTCTCCTCTAGAACTCCAGCCGTGAGGAGAGGACACTGTAACCAGAGGGCCAGAGAGGTCATGAAGGGGTTTGCATAGAGATGCCCCACACCTATTAGCAGGCAAGGGTGAGAATCAGGGAGGAGGGAAAAGTTACAGATGATGGACTATGACAGGAAGACTGACCGGCCAGTGAGGGAGGGAGGGATCCAGGCCCTGCTCTGGGCTGAGCGTGAGAGTGGGAGAGAAACTCTTTCTCTGAGCCAGAGAGCGAGCATCACTCAGGTCTTGGGGGGAGGCAGGCTCCTGTAGCTCAGAGGCACGGGAAGGAGGGAGGGAGGAACGGAGGGAGGGAAGGAAAGGGGATTATCTTCCCCAAAGTGAATGGATAAGGAAGAATTGGAGGCTTACAGAGAAAGAAGGAAATTTAGAAATTTAGTTGCTGCGGTTGTGAGGCCAAAAAACACCAGAAGACAATAAAAGGCTGGCAGAGCAGAGGCAAGGGTCTCAGTGCAGCTGTAGAGCATCTGCTTTTAGGGGTCAGGCGGTGACTTTTGCAGCTGGGCTCCGGGCCTGAGGACCGGGGAGGGAAATACCAAGAATCAAGAGCCCCTGGTGACAGGCATGAGCGCATTAGTCCTCTCAGCCCTCTCTCAGGCAGATGTTAGCGCCTCCATTTTAGGGTGGGAGGTTCGGGAAGCTTGAGAGCAGTTCTGGGATTCTAACGCACGCTTTCTGAATAAAAATCATATACTCCTTTTCTCTCTCTCTCTCAGCAGACTGGTAGGACCCAGGTCTCTCAATGAAGGGTAAATCCTACAAGGAGGGCGAGTTCAGGCGGGAGCTTCGGAGCCCAAAAGGAAGAAGCATCTACCGTGGAGTGAGAGAGAGAAGTAAGTGAGGGATTCCAGGATCACCGAGGGGTGCGTCACACAGCACCGGGCCCAGGCTGGGAGGTCAGGACAAACCCTGTGACTTAAAGAAGCGGCCACTGGCCAAGGCCTTGCTCCCCCCATGCCCCCGACTGGAAAATCTGGATACTGCCAGGAAACGGGCCTTCGGGAGCAGAGGAACACTCAGAGAGGCAGCATCCTGGGGGGCTCCGCAGGTTCAAGACCTCCCTGGAGAGCCTGGGCAAATGGTGACTCTCCAAGAGAACCACAAAACAAAATCATCAGTATTTATACCCCGCCACCTCCCCTCAAAAGATGGCGATTAAAATGGAACTGCAAAATAAATCAGAATGAAAAACAGGAAGGACTTCAAGTGTAAGCATAAAAC